TAGTGATAATAAAAAATTGGATTTCATGAGATGCTACAATTGTCAAAAAGTAGGGCATATGGCAAAAGACTGTAGAGTTGAGAGCAAAAGATGTAAATTTTGTAAAAAAACTAACCATTTGGAAAAAGACTGTTTTTTCAGGAACCAAAAAAGGAAATTTAAAAAAGAAGAAAGTCCAAAAGTAGCGCTCCTAACGCACGAAGCAGGTTCAGGATGGATAGTAGATTCTGGTGCGACAGCACATATGACAAATAATTTAGAGTATTTAAAAAATAGCAAGCCAGTGAACACAGAAATTAGTGTAGCGAATCAAAGAGGTGTGATGGTAGCTACACAAATGGGAACGGTTGAAATGGAAAACTGTGAGCTTAGGAATGTATTGTATATACCAGAGTTAAGAGGAAATTTAATATCAGTGAGTGCAATAGACAAACAAGGAGGAAAAGTGGAATTTTCTAATGGTCTGGTAAAAGTTAGTAAGAATGGAAGTGTGATCTTCGAAGGAAGAAGAAATGAAGCAGGATTGTATGTTGTAGAAGAAGTAGATAAAAAAGATAGTGCATTAGTAAGTACGAATTATAATCCTGTGGAGCTGTGGCATCATAGGTTAGGTCATTTAAGCTCAGGTAACATGATGAAACTTTTGAATATGTCAGAGGGTATGAATATAACAAAAGATCAAATTCTACAGCAAATTAAAAAATGTAATAAATGTTTGGAAGCTAACTTAAGTAGGCAACCTTTTGATAATCAAAGGAAGAAAGCTATTCAACCTTTGGAAGTAATCCATACAGATGTCTGTGGACCCATTAGTCCAGAAACATGGGATAGAAAGAAATATTTCATAACTTTCATAGATGATTATACGAATTTTGTTGCAGTATATATAATAGAATCGAAAGAAGAGGTTTTATCAAAAGTAATAGAATTTATTAAAATGGCAGAAGTTAAATGGGAAAAGAGAACTAAAGAAATTCGGTGCGATAATGGGACGGAATATACCAATAATAATTTAAAGATGTGGTGTAGAGAAAGAGGAATTCAGTTGAACTACACACCACCATATACACCACAGTTGAATGGTAAAGCAGAGAGGATGAACAGAACATTAGTGGAAAAGGTAAGAGCCATGTTAAATAGCAAACAAGAGAAAATGTTATGGGGTGAGGCAGTTAGAGTAGCTGCATACCTGCACAACAGAAGTCCTACGAAAGTGAATGAGAGAACAGCGTATGAATATTGGTATGGGAGACAACCATGTTTAAAAAATTTAAGAATTTTTGGTTGCACAACCTATTTTAAAGACTTAAGACAATTAAAAAAACTGGATAATAGAGGAAAAAAAGGAAAATTCGTAGGATATACCCTTACAGGTTATAGAATATGGGATCCAGAAAACCGAAGAATTTTTGTGTCAAGAGATGTGAAATTTCAAGAAGATAGGGATCTAGAAATGCACAGAGAAGAGGAACAAGATCAAGGGTCAATGAAACATAGAAGAGGAAGATTGATAATAGAAGAAGAGAGAGAGAATAGAGAAACTAATGAAACTGAGAGTGGATCACTAACAGAGGAAGAGTATTGGACGGATACAGGAGAACAGGATGTTACAATTAGGGAATCTATAGAAGGGATAGATAACGAACAAGAAATGAACATAGACAATACATTGAGGGAGACAAGGGAAGAAGAAAGTGAAAGAGAATTACGAAGATCGACTAGGATTAAAAGATTTCCAGAAAGATATAATGATTATGTTTTCCTGACATATCAAGAGGTCATGGAAGGTGAAGACAGAGAGAATTGGTTGAGAGCCATACAAGAGGAAAAGGATTCGTTACAGAAAAATGACACCTGGGAATTAGTTGATGACAATGAAGTGAAAGAGAAGAGAATTTTAACAAGTCGATGGGTGTTTCAAGTTAAAGATGGAAATAGATACAAAGCCAGATTAGTAGCAAGAGGGTTTGAGCAGAAACCTGGAATAGATTATGAGGAGTTGTTCAGTCCTGTAATAAATAGTTCTACGTTAAGAATATTATTTGCCCTTGCAGTACAACATGAAATGCAGTTCATTAAATTTGATGTAAAAACAGCTTTTTTATATGGTGAATTAGAGGAGGATATATATATGCAACTTCCAGAAGGGTATCAACAGAATGGAAGAAAATTTTGTAAATTAAAAAAGGCTCTTTATGGATTAAAACAGGCATCCTATTGCTGGAATAGAAAATTTACACAGGCACTGAATGATCAAGGTTTAAAACCATTAGGGACTGAGAAATGTATTTTCAAATTAGATGGAAAATTAATATATTTAGCGATCCATGTAGATGATGGAATAATTTTTGGAAAGAATAAGAAAATACTAATGGACTTGGTCAACAAGTTAAGGGAGTATTTTGAGATTAAATTAGACAATAATCCTGATATTTTTCTAGGTATAGAGATAGTCAAAAAGGATAATGGTGCTGTAAAACTAAAACAAACAAAATACTTAGAAAAAGTCTTAGAAATCTATGGTATGCAGACATCGAAAGCAGTGGACACGCCTATGTTGATGAACGTTAAAGGAGGAGAAGAGAGTAGAGGAAACTTTTTTCCTTATAGAGAAGCGATTGGCAGTTTGCTGTTCTTGGCGATGAAGACAAGACCTGATATAAGTTATGCGGTAATGTTTTGCAGTAGGAAAGTAGAGAAACCAAGTAATACAGATATAGTGAATGTTAAAAGAATTATGAAATATTTACAAGGAACTAGAGATTTTGGTATAATATTTAATAGAAATGATGTAAACATTCTTAAAGCTTATTGTGATGCGGATTATGCAGGGGACGTAGAAACTAGAAAGAGTACTTCGGGTTATGTTATAGAGTTAAATGGTAATATTATTAGTTGGGCATCGCGTAAACAACCGATTGTAGTGTTATCAAGTACAGAAGCCGAATTTATAGCAGCTGCGGAATGCTGCAAAGAGTTGTTATATCTGAAAGGGGTAATAGAGGAATTGCTTGAAAAAAGGGTACAAGTGGAAATGTATATCGATAATCAAAGTGCGATTAGACTGATTAATACAGGCATACTAAATAGGAGATCGAAACATATACGAGGTGTGACACAAAAGTAACGAGACTAGGTCTGTAACTTGAAAAAACAATGGAATTAGCAGCAATTATTTTTGTGGCATCATCCCACATACCTCCTCTATCCATGTTGCCAATTTCGATTGAATCGGTCATACCATTTGGAAATATTGCGTTATTTAGTGAACACGTGCAACTGCATTCTGCCGGAAAAATGTCTAACGTAAAAACCGAACAGCGAATAAACATCAAGTTTCTTGTAAAATTTGTTGAAATCTATTGTAACATGTGATGAGACATGTATTTTTACCTATGACTCACAAAGTAAGCGCCAGTCGATGCAATGGAAGTCTTCAGGATCCCCAAAATCCAAAAAAGAACGCATGTCAAAATCAAAATTCGACAATAATGGAATTGTAATGATTAAGTGGTCTCCCAGTGGTCAGACTGTTAACTAACACTATTGCATTGAAATACTAAAAAAACTTCGTGAAAAAATTAGGAAAAAAAGGCTACAGTTGTGAAGCGATGGATGGCTGTTGCTCCGGGACAAAGCACCCGCTCACACGGCACTATCTGTCAAGCAGTTTCTGACCAGCAAAATTATTATTGTGATAGGGAATCCTCCTT